GTAAGGAGAAGAAAAGTGTCAGTAAAGAGGCAGAATATTCTTATTTCATATCTTAGCTCTTATGAGCTATCTCAGCTTACATAAAAATCCTCTAGAACTCAATTTCCTCACCATGAGAATGGGCCAGCATCTCTAGAGTTATCCTAATAATCACAGAAGACGCTGGATCTGAAGTTTTCAGCACACTGTGGGCACCCAACACATGATGGCTGCTTTTATACTCTCATCAGGCACTCACAGGAGCCAGGCTTTGAGCCAAGCACTCCACAAATATCTCTCCAAACCGCCACAATGACAAAGGCAGCATTAGCTCTGTGTCACAAATGAGTAGGTAACTGAAGTCACCTTTCTAAGGTCACTCAGCCAAAGCAAGGTCACTGTGATATGCAATTCCCTACTTTTCTTACATTTTATTAACTTCCTCACATATTGTCCTCTTATACCCTGAAAACAGCCATGTCTGATGACTATACTGTCTTTCAAAACTCTCCTTAGGAGCTGTTCCAACGTGGGGAGACAGGAGTAAGTTTATTCTACCTGAACTACTATATCAGGACCAGGTGGCCTTCATTAGGAAGACCAGCACATTTTGTGTGTGTTTCAGGCCATGAGACTCTCTGTAAGGTAGATGGGTTGAAGCCAAAGTTATTTAAAGACAATATTCTAAATATTTCTTTCTTTTGGTAGTGGAGATTGAACTTAGGACCTTGCACTGGCCAGGCAGGTGCTTAGGGCACTGAGCTATACCCCAGGCCCTACCTTCTAAATTGTTTGCAGCTCCTTAAAATGTTTAACAATAACTGAATTGAAGGGCTAAAATACATTCCTGGGGCATAAACATAGACTCTGCACTTTGGGGATGATTTAAGACCCGTGTTTTTCAATGCAAACTGCCCAGAAATGTCAGTTTTATTTTGTTTTAATTTCCTAGGACTTAAAATGTCACAGGTAATGGAGCCTGTCCTTCAGGGCTATACCTAAAATCTCAACTAGAAAATTGAGGAAATATTTTAAAATATGATCCAGACACTCAAAATATGAGAAAAGCAAGGGACATAGAAAACAGCCTCTTCATATTAAGTGAAAAAGAATGGACCAGACTGAAGAGACTTGTTTTCAGCCTGGATGAACATCCTGGCCTACTGCTTGATGGTAGTGGTGGGGTGGAGTGGTGGGGTGGGGTGGTGGTGGTGGTGGTGGTGGTGGTGGTGGTGGTGGTGGTGGTCAGGGAGTTGCCCACAGCCCAGTTCTGCCTCTGCCTCCATAGAAATCTTACAGTTTGTATCTTCTCCACAGAACTGAAAAGATTAGAAAGACAGGATCATACATCATTTTTCTCTCACAAGCTTATAGTGTTTTCCGAAGAGTTCAAAAGTACTCAGTAAGAAAGGTGGTAAGTTTATGTCTTTTGTATTTAAAATGAAATTTTATTTGAACTTGTGAAGAAGCTTTTTTTAAAAATTTAGGATATTTCTGTTATTTCAAGGTTTTGCCCTGTGGCTTTTTCTGCGGACAGGTGGGTGGCCAGGGTGGTTGACAGGGAAGGACAGAGGGGTCTGTGTCTAGTAGCCCTACCCCCAGACTTTCTGAATGCTTGGCATACTGTGGCTGATGAAGCTTTTCCTTCTATAGTTTTCAACAAGTCTCAACAACAACCCAGGAGTCCTCCACCTCATCCACAACCTGATGGCCTGGCTATACTTCTTCCCTAAGCCATTTAACTTTTTTTTCTTTGCATTGCATGGGATTGAATGTAGGGCCTTATACATGGTAAGCAAAGGCTCTACTGTTGGGCTGTATCCCTAGCCTTCTTTCTATGTCTTTGCTGTCTACCTTTTCTTTCTATAATCACCAAGAAATGAAGTCTTAGGATTTTTCTTTGTTTTGGTACTGGGAATCGAACTCAGGACCTTGCACTTGCCAGGCAGGTGCCTATGCCACTGAGCTATATCCCTAGCCCCTGAAAATGGAGAGGTAGAAGGAAAATCATGTTATCTTCAGGGGACTGAGCTATCCACGAGGACTACTTTGTCACTTTTTACTCTAATCTTTTGTTCCCGACTTTGGGAACTCAAAAAGAAAAAAAAAAAAAAAAAAAAAGGAAAAGAAAACACAGCAAAGTGAATGAAAATTAAGTTGAAAGTTGAAAACAACCACAGTTGATTGAGACATGGTCTGGCTTTGTAGTTCAGACTAGCCTTGAACTCACAATGCAGTTGTGCTGACCTCAAACTCATGGTAATCCTCCTGCTTTAGCTTCCCAGTGTGTTGGGATTATAGGCTGGGAGTATAGGGGTGCATCACCACACCCAACTAGCAACCACATTTTAAGAAGATGAGAGGAAAAAGAGACAAGGTGGAAGCTTTTAAGTAAAAGTGAGACTGTCTTATTGTGGCTTCAAACATGCATTTCTGCTAATGATTTCATTTATGTGTCAACTCGAAGCCAAGGGCAGTAACTAACCATATGCAAATTTTGCCTTGCCGTCCCACTGCTGCTCTCAGCAGGCAGAACCACAGACTTAGCCCTAGTCCTCTGCACGGAAGTACCATTTGGTGAATGAACAAGCCCAGCAAGTACTTAATGGTTCAATATGTCTGAGGTTTCCACTTTCCCCCTTTCACAGGATACCAGGCCAAACCATACAAAACTCTCCAAGTGAAAGGGAAAGAAATAATAGGGTGTCCCTGTGAGTACCCATTTATTGATAGAACAGACAAAAAGATAGAGCCTTAACAGACAAGGGCAGGGTACATGAAGCCAAAAAGCTGAGTGCTACATACAAACTACTTCAAAAATATTTTTTTATGGGCCAACCAAATAGCTCAGCAGATTAAAACGCCTGCAAGTAGGTACATGGGCTGGGGGTTCGATCTCCAGGCCCGCAGGGCTGGCCCCACCCCCAGGGCACATTGAGATATCAATTGAGGCTGGGCGTGGCACGTGCCTGTAATCCCAGCTCTTGGGAGGCTGTAAACAGGCAGATCACTATGAGTCTGATCTAGTAGTGAGACCCTGAACACCCTGTAGACCCTTTCCTAAAATATAAAAAAAATAAATTATTTATTTATTTATTTGGTACAGGTTCTCACTACACAGCTCAGACTCGTAGTGATCCTGTCTCAGCCTCCCCAGAGCTGGGATTATAGGCATGCACCATACCACACCACATCTGGTTTCAGTAGCTGCCATAGCCCAGGGTTCCAGGGCTGGCACAGCATGCAGTACCAGGGAATCAAACATAGGTCGTTGCACTTGCTAGGCAGATGCTTAGACTGCCGAGCTATCTCAAGCCCCAGAAACAACTTTTAAGTACAGGAAAAAAACAGTCCGTTAGGAGCAGAATATCTACAAAGAAAGCACTGTGCCTACCCTTTGAATGTAACTGGCATTTTTCCCAGGAAAATTTTAAAATATTCTCAAGAGTGTCATTACTCTTCTACTACCATTAAGCAGCTCTGGTCAACTACATAAACAATGAAATATCAGAGCCTAAGCTACCTAAAACACCTTGACTCAACTTCAAACCCAAAATGAAAACCAAATAGGCAGTAATTCCTTTGGGTTTTCCTCTTTTCAATAAAAAAGCAGGTAAATTTGACAAGGACCCTCAAAACTAAAGGGACATAAAAATCACAAATTAGATGTGTGAAGGACTCTGGGGGCAGAGGTTATTTAGGAGACACTGGAAGGGGCTTCTCTGGGTCTCTGTGGCTCTTTAAGTCAAAATCACCTCTTCTCTTACCTGATCTCCTAAGAGAGCCTAAGATGTAAGGAACTAGGACAAATTTCCACCCCATTATAGCAGTCTTTCTGATAGTACCTAGAAGTGCCACTTTTGAGAATATAAAAAATATTCTGGCAATAACATTACCCTTAGGGGATACCACTTTTTACTTCAACCAAAAGTTCAAGTAACTTTCTCTGAACCATTCATTCCTTTTAACAAAATGATCTACTTTAAAACAGATTGTTACCTGTTATATTTTAAGGTCCTTGATGGATGGTTTTCTAAAGTAAATTTATTTCTATCTCATACTGCAGTCAGAAGTAATGTTGACCTTCTTAGCTAAAAAGTCTTTTTTAGTACTTCTAAATGGGGTGACACCAGCCAATGGTAGCAAATGTTTTCTGAAGGCTTACTCTAGCACAAGGCATTTGCATCTCACCTCCCAACCAACCTATGAGGCAAGTTCTAAACAGGACTATAATTGCTGTCTACCATTATAAAACCAAAAAAGCTCTAAAGCCCAAAGTTTTTCCATAACTTACTTGGCAGCAAAACTTAATGGATCTGAACTCATTTGGAGGCAAAGCTACCCTGATCTAACATGTGCTATTTAGATTTTAGCTATCTTACTCAATGTGAATATCCATACGGTTTGCTATACAATTATGAAGGTGTATAGTTACTAAGTGTTGCCCCAGATTCCTTGGAGATTACTCAATAGAAAATAATTAAGCTCCTCAAATCTCAGAATTCTGAAATATCTGGCCCCAAATGTATATTTTGTAAATGTCTATTATCAACCCATTTTATAGACAAGAAACTGAGACTCCTGGAGGGAAAGCAACTTGCCGGAGGCCATCAAGGAGACAGTGGATAAAGCCAACTGAAGCGTCCTTCAGAACCAGAGTTCATGAACACCATTAGTAGGTTGCTACAAGCTATGTCTGAGTCCTTAACTCACGCAACCTCAGCCATGATGAACAACTAGGCTGAACTGGCTCTTCCCCATAACCAACTACAGTGGTACCTTGGCTTACAAATTTAATTTGTTGTATGACTTTGAGGAAAATCGCCATGGTCCTGTTTGTCATTTGATACAGAATTTAGAATAGAAGCAAGATTGTGCCAAATGCTTTTGTTTGCAAACCCAATTTTTTGCAAACAGAAGTGTTCATGAACCAAGGTATTACTAGATTGGAAACACTGGGGAGATGGTTGAGGGGAATACACCAACCAGAATGATAGCAATTTGTAGGGCTGGGTGCTTACCTTGCCCAGGACAGTGAGGCATGGTTTTGGGTCCAATTCTGGCTGTTCCAGCTTCACCACTCCTACCCAACCATATTCATACAAATCCTCCTCGTCATTGTTATTACATAGGCCCAGCGGGTGCATCTAGGAGATAAAATGAAAAAAAAAATTTCAATAGGTCAGCTACATTATTTGTTTGGTTCATATTGTGTACTTCTCATATTCCAGCCAAAAGCAGGCTTAAAACTTTAAGGCAGGAAGTTTTATTCACTTGTGAGGAACCCTATTTCAGGACAATAAGCAGAGGATTGAGGAGAACACAAGCTACTGTATAAATACATTTTATGGATGCTTTCTCTCTGCTTTCTAAGTGGTAGTCATTTAAGGTGGAAAGGCAGAAGAGGGAAAAACACTGTAACTCCCATATAATACCAATCTAAATTGTGAAATGCCATAAATTCAACACTAAGTACTAATTATATAATGAGAACACCTAAGTTAGAATACCAGACTGGCTTTTAGACCTTAATACATTTACTTCAACTTATAGAAGAGGACCTGAAGATATATCCAGAACTCTAGAAAGAAAACTAGAAATTGGAAGAATCACAAGTATAACTATAGACTGTAGAAGGCTATCCTTGGATAACTGAAAATAGAGGAAAATTTTTTGAGGTCTTTTTAAAATTTGCAAAGCGCAAAATTAAAGATTGGTAGAATATCAAATTTTCTCATATAAAAGATAGAAAAACATAACAATCCTAAGACTCATGTTGGCAGTGCTATCATTAAATTGTAGCAGGCCCTAAAACTCCTGAAAATAATCTGAAAATTCAAAATCTTGTGGATAAATAAATGTGACTTAACAAGAAGCTGATGAACTCAGCACTATGTGTCCTAAGCTCATACATAAGTGGCAGATACATCTTTAGATCTGTGACAAGTTACAGACATAGGAAATCTAAGGATCCACTGTAGACAGAATAACAGTATCAAAGACACTTATGTTCTAATCTTCAGACCACATGAATAAAACGCCTTACACAACAAAAGATGCTTTCAGATGTCACTAAGTTTCAGGTGGGGAAGGCTCCCAGGGTTCTCCAGAGAAGCCGAATGTATTACAAGGGTCCTTAAAAAGAAAAAAAAAGGGCATGAGAGAAAAAGATGTGATAACAGAAGCAGAGACCAAAGTGATATGCTTTGAAAATGGAGAAGTAGACCATTAGTCAAAGAAAGCAGGCAGCCTCTAGAAGTTGAAAAATCCAAGGAAACAGGTTATCCTCTAGAGCTTCCAGAAGGAATACAGCCCTACAGACTCATTTTGGACTTCTGACTTCTAAAATGTAAGAGAATAAATTGATAACACACACTATGCCATCATATTTTTAGTAACTTGTTACAGTAGCAAATAAGAAACTAATATACCTACTCTCTGCTCTCATTTTACAGGTGAGAAGAGAGGTCTAAGATAAATGTCTTTACCAAGACAACACAACCAGCAAATGGCATACCCAGAGGTGACCTGGCCCTTGGATTGACAGTCTGGAGCCTTCTCACTCTGCCTGATTACTTCCTGGCCTTTTCTCTGAGAGCTGCCATCTGACTGGAGAGAAAGACCAAGACAGCAAATTGTACTTGAATGCAATGTAAGTTTATCACAAATAGCAAGAGTTGCTAGAATGTTTGGGGGAACTCTGTGCAGCTGCTAAGCCTCAAGGCAGCTTTGAAGGAAGGGGGAAACCTAGCCATTCTATGCAAGCTAGTCATTCTAAGCCTGGAGGTTGCTAAGAGATGACATACAAGAGAAGGAGAATGAGAGTGGTCTGATCAATACACAATAGAAAGGGTCACAGGCCACACAGAAAAGGCAAAGACAAAGACACAAACACTAGAAGAGAATTCGGATACCAAGGCAGTATCACAGGTCCTCTGGTAGAACAAGACATCAAAATGGGTGTTTAGATGAATGAGTCGACACACCTTGGGACAGCAGCATGCCTGGATTCTAGAGACAACGGTGAGAGGAGGGCAAAAGGTACAGCTCAGTGACGAGTGGTCCTTGGAACTTAAATCCTATGGAAAATGTAAAAGGCACTAAAAGGTGCTGCCAGCAGCTGTAGAGGGACAGTACCCCCAACACTCCTGAGAATTCCAAGACACCCGAAGGAGAAGAGGTGAAGAAAGGAGGAGGAAGGGAAAAAGGAAGGAAGGGTGGAGAAAAGGGCTCTCAGAAATCCAATTTTTACAAATCCCCATGCTCAAAGTTTGTTTGCTCAAAGGATCAATGCAGGTTCTACAGTAAAATGGACCACTTAGTCTTCCCTCTGAGATGTCCCTCCAGGGCTTGGATCACTCTAGAATGATCTACCATTATTAAAAGGTAAGTACCTTGAGACTAGTGACCTGGAGGAGGAAGAACTAGATGATAAAGCCAACTGTGGCAACACCTGAGTCATCTCTGATTTCTAGGAAAAGACTCAGGTCCAATTCAAGCCAGCATGATTCAAGCATGCTTTCTGAAACCGCAGGTCCACTCATAGCAATAGTACACACACTTCTGAACCTTTTCTAAAGCATCCTATAATATTTTTCACCTAGCCACATGACTTAGAGGTTTTTACACAGATTACTGCTTTTTTAAGTTACACAGTATACTTTGGATGTTTGGTCAATGATAAAGAGCTATTTGAAGGGACAGGCATATCATTGAGGTCTGATCTTCAGCTGTAACTTTATCAAAATTTTATTAAAAAGGGAAGTCCAGAACATTGTATGGGTATATTTATATAAAATGTTCCAGGGGGGCAGGGAGATAGCGCAGTAGAATAAGCACCTGCCGGGCAAGTGCAGGGTCCTGAGTTCAATCCCCTGTACTGCAAAAAAATAAAAATAAAAATAAAAATAAAATTAAAAAAATGCAATGTTCCAAATAGGCAAATCCATAGAAAGAAAGCAGACTAGCAGTTTCCATGGGCTCAGGGAGAGAAAAATAAAGAGTGACTGTTTAATGGGTCCAGAGTTTCTTCCTAGGGATGATGATGAAAATATTCTGGAACTACATGGTCGTAACAGTTGCATAACACTGGGGACATATTAAATGTCACTAAATTATAAGCTTTTATATGATGGGTTTCATATGCATTTTACCACAATAATTTTTTTTTTTTAATCCAACAGCCAGGTGCGATGGTGCATGCCTATCCAGCACTTGAGAGGCTGAGGCAGGAGTATCACGCCATGAATTCAAGGCCAACCTGAACTACACAGCACAAACTACCTGAACTATCCTGCCAAACACAAACAAGCAAACAGTCCTAAGGTTTACTCAGAAATCACTGCAACCTGCCTAAAGTTGCCCACAACTAATATGAGGGCCCACAGTAGAGGATAATACGGTTTCCACCTTTCTAGAACTGCAGTCAATTATAGCAGCCCTTCTAGAAACTGTGTTTTGCAGAATACTGTCCCAGCAAGATGAAAAGAAAATTCTTACACAAGTAAGTAACACTGGGAAAAAACACTTCATATGAACTCTCAGGATCTACATTTATAAATTAAAGTTCTTCAGAAGACTGTGGTTTAACAAACAAAAGGTTTCAATCTTTGCTAAAACTTATCAATTCCTCCTGATTTACTGTAAAACTATTTTATACTTAATATGATTCCATGAGAAATGCTAAGTAAGGGAGACACATATATCCATGTGAAAGGATAAACCTCCAGCAAATATGGTACAAAACAAGCCATGCATCTTCAAATGTTGACTATCCATGACACAAACAGCAAAGGCTATACTGGAAAGAGATGAGAGGACAGCCAAGGGCTTGGAGAGAAGCAGACACTGGGAGGGTGGCAGAGGTGCAGAGAGACAGCATTATGGCAGGATCCAAGAGCAATAGATGTACAGGCTGAAGCCTGACCCACTGCAGCAACCATGAGGAGGAAGTGGATCTGACCAGGCTAGAGGGCATGTTGTAAAGAAGCAGAATTTAGGCCCAGTGCAAGGTCATGACAAGGGCACATTCCCTGGGCATACAGAAATCTCAACTATGTAAGTAAGTATCAAACACACTCCAAGAGTCCCTGAAGATCTGTCAGGGTCCACTCAAGTCTGTCTGGCTAGCACCCTGAGCTGCTTTTCATGCTGTACTCTTTCTTTCTCCTCCTCTGCTCTTACGTTCTCTGAGACTCCCTATCAAACCTTCTGCTGACACTGGAGTGACTGTCAGCAGCTCAACACAACAGCCTCGTCAAGGGCGGTGCCTTCTGAACAGGATCCATGACTTCAACAACAACAACAACAACAACAACAAAATTTTTTTCGAAAGTACCAGTGAGTAGAACCAACTGTTGTGTATTTGTTTTCACATGAAAGGTAAAGAAACAACCAAAATCACATCTCATCATCCTTACCTACCTCCATCTTAAGTTAGATCCTTATTCTTTTTTATATCCCCAGGTCCCCAAACCTTTCTAAAGCTGGCCTCTTGAGCCATCTGGCAGAAATAATATAAGATTCAGGCTGCTGTCAGCTCACCCTGACAATAATATCAGCTTCCAGAAATGCTTGCCATCCCTGGCCTCTCCCTAAGAGCTCTCTTTACCCAAGGACTCCACATTATGAGTTCAGGAGAATGTTTTACAGTTAAGTAGAAGTAGTCACAGCACGAACATATCTATAAGCAAGATGATTTATCAAAAAGGGTAGAATCTTCCAGGGAGAGATACTGAATCCAAGTTAATATGCCATATTTAGAAAAAGTGAAGCGGGGGAGGGGGGCTTTCCCATGCAATGACCAGATAATAGATTCTACATTTATATATTTTAATTTATAATCTTTACAGAAAATAAACTGCAAGCTAGAACCAGGAATCCACAACCAAGGCAGAACTTAATGGAGTCCATGAAAGTCATAATAGTAATGTAAATGACTAAAGCCCACTCAAAGACCATGGCAAACAATGTAGTTAGGGATTAAAGAAGAAATATGAATGGGAACATCCACAGGGAATGACCAAAGGATTAAGAGATAGCACTGGAATCAGTGAGAGTCCCAGCCAGGCAGTGGCACAGGCCTATAATCCTAGCACTTGGGAAGCAGAGGAAGGAGGATCACTGCAAGTTCGAGGCCAGCCTGGGC